TAATTCAGGTTTCATGCGCTGGTGCGTGAAATCTTTAACTGTTTTCCAATGTTTGAACTATTTTTGCACAGACTAAAGTACAAAGCAGTGAAAATCATTCGTCTGGTTTTCAATGTTTGAACTATTTTTGCATAGACTAAAGTACAAAGCAGTGAAAATCATTAACAGGCAATCGTTCGATGGGCTGAATTGCACAAAACACATGATGGCGCACCGGCTTGTCTGGTTCGCGTTGCTATTTATTTATTTTTCCGTGTGTGATGTATAAGTGGGAATTGTTTCTAGTGCATTGTAAAACAGGGTTAGTCAGGATTTTCTTTTCGGTGTTAACCAACTTTTATAATATATTTGCTGCTCCCATGTCCAGGCATGCCAGGAAGACAAGCCGTCCTCAATCTGCCCCGCAAGCAACTCCGGCAAGAGTGAGCTGTTGACGGTTTTGTCAGCACATCACTGCTATTAGTTAAATGCTATTATTTAATTCACCTCCAGAAGCTTCCGTTTTTCTCAGAGTATGAAATGCGACGGGCTTTTCTGTTGGTTTGACATGGAGTCTTATTACAAATTTTACAGTAAGAGCATTTCAGCATGATGATTTCTTCAAACAGCTGCTAACAGAGCCAGATCCATGGTCGACGAGCAGCAGCAGCGATTCAGCTGTTCGGGGCAAAATCGAAGGCCCAGCTTCTGCCGCAAATAGCACTGTTGCTGGGCAAAGTGCTAGTGATATCCCAAGAGGCAAGGGCGAGTTGCCAAAAGACGCTTCAAACTTCTCGGCTGATCTCAGGAAACCGAACGCAGATAGTCTTGGCACAGCGGCGGTGCTAAATGAGATTCATGGAAAAAGCGGAATTTCCATTTTGAAACGACCGCAGGCTGCAACTGTCAACGCAGTTCCGTCTCAGAGCGTGCCTGTTGACGAGTCATCCACACCACAAACGCATCAGCCGAGCAAGAGTCAACAGACCTCAAAAGTTTGTTTTGCAAGAAAAATCTCATTACTCTTTCTTCGTTTTTCCTCCTCCCCGCCCCCTCCCCTCCCTCTCTCCCTGTAAGCGCACCAGTCCTTCTTTACAGCTGAGGGATGAAATATAGTCTTTTGACATCCATGTCGACGCAGGAATGCCTTTGGTTACAGTGTCATTTCCTTCACATGCATCGCTTCTGACAGTTTTTTTTAAACGCTAGTGGCGGGCATAGCGTGCTGGCGAGTGGCCTTGCTTTTTTGTGTTGGTGGCCGATTTTTCGATTCTGCCGGTGTTTCACTCAGTTCCGCATTTATCTCGATGATGTCCACCAATTAAAACTATCGCTGTTGCACAGCACTGCAAAGAGAGAGAGAGAGAGCCAATGGCATCGTTACCGGTCGTTGACACTTTTTAATTCTCAAGTCGCACCCTGGTGCTTTCGCCTCATATGGAAAGAGAGAGAGAGGGACAGAGAGCATACGGAGGGAATTTTGACTTTTGGCTGTGGTTGCTGATCCTTTGTGGTCGTGTCGTTTCACTTTCGTCTCTTCAGCACTTTGTTCCTCTTCAGAACTTCTTTCTCGGCCATGGAAGTGACCGTTTTTCTTAATATTCCGTTTATTTTTCGTAATTTTCTATATCGTTTAGACAAAACCGAGAACTGAACCTCTCGTGGTTAAGGACAACTTTTTGGATGGTGTGGATTTGACGCCTGGAATGTGCAAACTTCTTCAGAACGGCGAAATAGAGGTATCGCTTCTGTAGCATTTTTAAGCGTGCCAATTAGAATTTTCTAGCACAAATAGGCATCGTTCATGTCGGAAAGAAATCGCTTCTTGCTCGGTAACCTTCAGACGATGTGAGCATTGACAACCCCGTCAACAGTGAGTGCGAATTACTTTCGCTGAGCCCAGTTGTGCATTGTCTGCAACCTGTGAAACTTGAGATGCAGAAGAGAAATGATTTGTTTTAACAATCTCATCGCCAGTTCTTTCATAAGTACAGATGTTGCAGCTGCAGTTCAGCAAGCCCGAAGGGAAGGATTTCATCCATCTTATTCTGTTCGAATGCACTGGACCCCCAGGTGGTGCAAAGCACGTTTCTCGAAATGGCGCTAAGATATGCGTATCTGCTGTGATGGATGAGAATACGCCTGCTGGGAAAATTCGTGAAGTTTTTTTGGATTTAGGCAAACAACTGGAGCGATTATCCGACGAAACACTGAAAACAAGTAAATTTTCTTTCTATTTTCATTTTTAACCAGTCATTTGACGTTGCATATTAGTGAGTAGCACCCGCAAAAAAGTATATGAGCAATTAGATGCTGCTGTGAAAAATTGTTGTCGCACTGCTTGGAGCAGCCGTTGGGCATTAATTGGAGGTATGCAGCTCAGGTTCGGGGGGCTTGGCACGGCAATTTCGAATTCTTGATGTTTAATCAGTTATTGTTTTATTATTAGTTTAATGAGTAATTATTTAACTATCCCCAAAAGTGTAGCTAGCACTCCTTGCATTGCTTGCTTTATGCGGAACTGCTGCATCGTATAATGGTCAGCTTATCTGCTAGTGTTCCTTACTGTTTTCTTTTTTGCGTGTAAATATTAGTTGTACTGTATTCTGTTGGTGCTTTTATGGTCCTAAAGATGAGAACAAAATGCAACATTGGGTTGCAACACAAACATTCGTACACTGATGCGAAGATATCTGCTGTGATCCGATTCTGTCCGGCTCCAGCGGCGGCGTATTTGCCAGGTGTACCTCGGACGGCCCCTAAATCCTTTGGCTTATTCGCCATCTGTTCAGCTAACAGCCTTGCCATCGACCAAAATTTTGTGCTTTTCGCATCCACACCGCTCCAAATGTTCGAGTTGACAGATCGGCTCAGTGGGCTGATGGCCTTCCCACTGCTGTTTCAGTGCATCGTGGCTCATGACCATCCCGTCTTCTCTTCCTGGCTTGCATTTCCTTTTATACCAAATTTGGCTACAGCGCAAACTGCAGCGTATATCTACTTATTTTCCACTCATAGTGTAATGCAACTTTATTTTAAGACATGACGCCGTATGAGTTGAACAGATACTCGTTGCCTTACTTGCAAAAGCACTATATTTATCGGAAGAAGGATTCGGTGTCACGATTCGTGCGAGCCGTTTATTATTGTGAAATATGTCACTATCATATATGGACAGTGGCACAAGCAGTGTCGCATTTTACTGCGCGTGAACACATCGACAATGAAGAAGTTAGTTTTTTTTTAAGAATTTTATGAAACTGCATATTTACCGCCTTCTTTTCGTGCTACTTCAGCCTCCGTGTCGTTTGCGATTCCTCATGCGCTCCCTCATTACTGTATCATTTGGTTTAGTGGAGATGGGCCAAAATTTAGCGAAGATTACAGGTGCCGTAAGTAATTAATCGAAAATATTTAACAGAAAGAGGCGATGTCAAAGAAATTGGAAAGTTTGCCAGAGCCAGTGAAGGATCAGATGGCAAGTGTGGAAGTAATTTTGCACCAACAGTATAAATCCGCAGAACTTACGGACGAGCAGTATGAAACGGCAAAGCGTATCGCCAGCTCGTTGTCATTGTTATTGCAGGCCAATGTGCACAAAAGTAATTTTTTCGCAATTTCCGGGTTCATCCGAGCCTTTCATCTCAGCAGCTTGTCTTCGCCTCCGTTGGGGAACTGTTGAGCTGGTTGTTCTGCCATTGGACAAGCCATCTGAAAAGTCGCCAGCCACACGATAGGGGCCAAACGATGAATTAACAGCTGACCCGTTCATACCAGTAATAGATTAACACTCCGAAGCATCCCTGCTTGTCGCTGATAAGGACTAAGCATTGGCAGTTCAGCGATTGCAAAGATTTTAGCCTCGAGCCTCGAGATTGATACCTTTTATCGTTGCGTTCTGAAAATTCACATGTGAACATTTTAACACTTAGCTCTCACCACCTCAAGTGCCTTCCGCTAAGCATTACTTTTGAACTTTTCGAAATTTTACTTGTTTTTGATCCACATGCTTCTTTTTAATTATTTTAGACGTTTCATTGTCGATGTTTGGCTCGTATTACATGAAACTTGCAACAGCGAGTAGTGATGTAAATCTGGCTTTGACTTGTCCACCAGAACTTTCGTTTGGCCAGTCGCTGTTTCGAGTTAAAGAAACATTGGAGGATTCAACAATAGGTATTGTTTCATTATGCGCTATTTAGGACTCTCAGTATTCCTTGGGCGTTGCTGCATAAATTTTTATTGGTAGTTAAGAAAAAGAGTCGGAAGTACTGATAAAAGGGCTGCTTATATTGGCTTAAAACATCAAGGGTTTTTTAAGATAGTATGAAAATACTGTCAGCTTTGGTGATGAAACAAATGTGCTGAATGTGAAGTGACTTGTCAAGATTGGCCCTGAATTTTGTCCGACTGATGAGTAATCGTTGTCTTTACTTTATAAAAGATTTATTGGACTAATGAGCCTTAAAAAAGAACGGGTTGTCATTTCAAAGTTTCCTTTCAGTTGACACCAGCACCTTAACTTTAAAGCATTCCAATAAAAAAGCGGGGGGAAGATGGGGAGATTGGCAGAGCTCATCGATACTGTTCATATTCCGCTTTCGTCGTTCAGCAGGTTCATGGGAAATAGACAGAATATGGTTCTGCTCCTTGGCGTGTTAGGCATGCTAGTACGTGTTTTTTTTTTTTTTTTTTTTTTTTCAAA